GTGTGTGCGCGCGTGTGTGTGTGTGCGCATACGTGCAATTTACCCGTTATGACCCAGTAGTTCTTGGTTGCTGCAGACGTGTTGAGATTATGATACTCAAGAGCTGGAGACAGAGAGACAGAAATAGGGGGTTAGATTAGATTAGATTCAATTTATTGTCTTTGATAAAGTATCTAACACAAACAATGAAATGCAGTTTGCCATCTAATCTGAAGTAAAAACAATAACAAAATTCATAGAAATATGGGAAAGTCTCATTTGAGTCTTTTTACCATCTAAAATTTACTTTGGGATATTTTTTAGTATTTTCTAAAGATACACACATGCAGACCAGAACTTCTGATTTTGGATGGAGCTCCTTTCTATAAATAATAACACTGACAGTTCCCTAAGATCATATTTTTATTTATTTATTTATTTATTTCTGGTTTACACTTTTATGGCGTGAGTTGCAGTTTTTTGTTTTTAAACTCAGGCTGTTGAACCCATGTGGAACAGAAATAGAAAAAAATACTTTGTTAAAGGTAACGTTTGAAAACGTTCACCCCTGGATGTCAGTAGATTGTATACTGCAGTCAATTGAATTGTTTTTTCTTAGCCCTCCCAATTCAAATGCATAACCCTAGCAATGATAGCCACTGTAGTAAAAACATATTTTAGTCTTCCAAGAGAGATTCAATTTGCAGTATTTTTACTTTTTCACCCCTGAGTCACCTCAAAAACCCTGGACACCATTCATCGGTAGAGAGTGTAGGCTGTCAGCCTGCTGTTTACCTCAGCAGTAAACGTCTATTTACTCTGGAGGAGGCTGTAAAACCTTTTGAAAAGAGTCTAATATGAATTAATGAGTTAGTGAAGCTCACTGCTGTCTGATGAAAGCGATACTAAAATGAGTTTTTGAGGATATCCCGAACTGGTTTTTGCCATTATTAGTTAGCCAGCCTTACTGAATCTTAGATCTAATATTGCGGGCTCAGCGAATACGATGTGAGAATGTAATCAACCTATTTATCAGAGAGAAACTCTGATTTTTAGAACACCAGAGCCTAACATCAGCTGCTACAGTGTTAGCATATAACCAGCTGTTATTGTTGTTGTTGTTTTGCAAGCTCTTGTCACCTGGCAGGAGACCGGAGGGTCACATGGCTAATCTGCTGACGCTAAATGATTGTGACAATACTGATAATAAATTTATGGACATTTTTGTGTGTTAGAGCCCTTCAGAAGAGGTTTGAAATGAGCAAGGATAGAGAACAGTGGAGGAGAAAGACAATGAGAAAGAGATGATATAAATATATATGTATAAATGTCATATAGACATATATAGTTTGAATGAGATATATTATGATCTTTTAAAAGTTACTTATAAGGCGTACTGCATATGTGGCCCGCTTCTCGTGAGGTCTGTCTTGGCTACTTTATTAAACATAGCGGGGAAGCAGGTAGTTTCCACGATCCGGTGCCCAATCCTATGTATTTTAATAGATTATTAAATCTACTGGTGTTGGCCAGAGGGGCCGATGGCGCGATATGGCAGCCTCGCTTCTGTCAGTCTGCCCCAGGGCAGCTGTGGCTACAACTGTAGCTGCCTCCACCAGTGTGTGAATGCGAGAGTGAATGAATAGTTGAATTGTAAAGCGCTTTGAGGGCCCCGAAAAGCGCTATATAAATGCAATCCATTATTATTATTATTATTATTACTTCCAAGTTTATTTTCCCGGGTAACAATTAAATCATAATTAATAAATAATTGAGCTACACATCTCCTCTGCTGATGTACTATAATTATTACACAGCAGTGCAGGTCAGGTTTCATTATCTGCTTTGATGTCCTTTACCTCTCACGTCTACACTAGCCTTCAGTCTTCCTTCCCGCTCGCGTGCTTCTGTTAGCAACTCACTCTCTGCTTGTTTACCTGTCAGTGTATTCATTTCCTAAAACGCCGGCTCCTTTCTGTCCACCCGGCCGTCTCCTTCTGCTTTTATACACACACATCATCACTCCCTCAGCCTGTCGACCTCTTTCTGTGTCCTCTTCATCCGTCAAGCTCTCCCTCCTTATTTCCCATCTGCCTGTTTTACCATCTGTCTCCACCTAACTCCTCTGAGCTGGCTGCTTGCCGAGCATTGAGTGTTTAGCCTGAGTCAGTGGCATTACATGATGCAGTAGCTGTTATCAGCCCGCGTCCTGTCTGCCTGACGTCTCTGTATCTGAACGAGTTCATATTCACTGCGCTGTCCTCTCGAGTTAAACAAGTTCGCGTAAACACATAAGACAATCCGCACCGAAGTGTGAAAGTTTAGACTCATTCACTTTGAGAACCTGCTCAATGTGCAGATGACTCCAGCGCTCTGATTTCATCAACACAACAGCTGGAAAAAAAGAGGAAGAAACTTGAAGAGGAATCAGATGAAAACATAAAAGCAAAAAGCTACTTCTACTATCTAGAAAAATGCCATTTCTGAGCATTTTCCATAGGCTATATATAAAAGACAGATGCAGCCATCCTCACATTAACACTGTCACTTTAAAATGTGACAAAGAGCTTTATGACCGTAATCATTTTGCTTCTCTGAAGCCAGATGCTACGAGTGAGTGGTGAAAGTAACTGAGGAATTGAGGGCGCTGTGTTGTTATCAGCAACCACAGTAAGGGTTTAGACACAGAGGATAGTGAGCAGATTGGCGTCTATTGGATTGTTTTAATTGAACTAGTTTCTGCATTCATGGTAATACATGGACATGTGTATACTTTTTTAGCCTCAGTTTCATCTGTTTACCTTATGAACGCAGACATAGAATTCTTAATATGAAACCTAAAATCTTTTGTTTCTCTGTTTTATTTCTATCAATCGCTCAAGCCACACCTGCTCCCATTGAATCCAGGGGATGAAGTGCTTTATATTCTGAACAGCAAGTTTGTTTGAGGGAAAACAAGGATTCGCAAAGAATTGCATCATTTGTTTGACTGACAGCTAAAGCAGCACGATATAATAACCACGTGAGATCAAAGCTCCCTCAGATGTACGCTGCCAAAATTCAGTCACGCTAACCTATAGTTAGCACAGGAAGGTGTTGGGTTTTTTTTTTTCCCCCAAATTAATCTCAGTTTAGACAACATTATAATGAGAATAATTTAGACATCTCACTGACCTGAAGGTAAGGATACACACCAAAGCAAATGCAGACACTCTATAAGGAGACAGGCTCAAACACGCACAGTCATTCCCTATGGCAGCTAATTAAATTCACATTACACATGCCTTCACTGCTTTACAGGCACGCAGCATACTTTAGCCTGTACTTTGAAGAATAATTAAATACACCTGGTGAAAGATTAAAAAATATAATTATACTATAAGGTTGCCCTTTAATCCTCAAAAATGCAAACACTTAAATGACTATATGCTCCTCTGTATGCAAACAGACTGTTCATATGAATCTCAGTATAACTATAGTTAATTTTTCTGACCAATACAGTGACCTGCATATGATCATTTCCACCCATTTGTTCATTTAATTATGTTTTTAGATTATTATATACAAAACCATCCGCTCACTGTTTCCCTAGAAAAGCGTGCTGCTTTTAAGAGAACAGACACTGTTTCCGTGGTGATGCCAAGTGGGTTTGCATGTGACTAGGTGAAGTGTGATGTTTGAGCCCTTTGGGTGTTGAGAGCATGCACAAATAGATACTAATCTAATCTCACCGGGCTAAAATTAGCTCATTCGGGGGACATGGTCAACAGACTGCCGATGGCACGATCGAGATGATCGGAGCTGTACAGCTGTTTGCCCTTTCAAAATCTCACAGATGGCAGTAGAGACAAGACCGGAATACAAACAGAGCTCCTGTGGCTCATCTTTGGGGTCTATGGTCATTTACATATGTTTGTAGAGTCTGCGTCAGCTACTGCAATAATTAATGTTTACCACAAAGATCTTCAGGAGTTGCACTGTTTTTTGGGGTGTTTTTTTTAACTGAATGAAACACTTGAAGTGACAGAGGTGACTGCAGGTTATTCATTTGAGTAGAGAACACAAATTACTCTATAGTACCCTAAAGTGGCCTTTGTCAAGGTAATGCTTGATATAGTCAGGTAACTTAATCATTTCTTTAACTTGTTAGCACCTTCCTGTAGTCTACCTACCTTCAGGTATTTGTAGCTAAATATATAAATACATAAATACAAATAAAATACATTTAAATACATTTAAATTCAATTATTAATAATAATGACAAGCTGAAATAATTATTTCCTATATGACTTTATCAGTCCATCACATTTCTTTTGGCCCACTCCTTCCAATGTTGCTTCACTTCATTAAGTCCTGCAGGCATTAGTTTATGCACGCCTCTCTTAGGGCCAGCCTTTCATTCAGGCTGAAGTCTGGGCTTTGGCTGGGCCACTGCAGCACCTTGATTCTTTTCTTTTTCACACACACTCTGTTGTATATCTGCTGCTGTTCCTGAGATTTTTGTTCTGCTGAATGACCCATTTTTTCCTTAGCTTTAGCTGTCAGCCAGATGGCTTCACATTGAACACTTTGGTATACAGAGGAGTTCATCATCAGCTCAATAACTGCAAGATTCCCAGATTGTGTGGCTGCAAAACAAGCCCAAATCATCAAACGAAGATTGACAACAGCCCTAAATGTTTCCCACTTGTGAATAATCTTTCTCACTCAACTTCAAATTGTTTTGAAATTACTTTATAAGCCTTCCCAGATTATTGCTGATGTTTTTCCTCCTTGGCATTAAAACAGACCTGAATGCTCCAGATGAGCAAGCTGCCAAAACCTGCACTTTTATAGAGGTGGGCACATTTGCTCATGATCAGTTAATCAAGCACATTTCATTAGCAGAACCTGTCTGCTACTTACCCTCTTAATTCCTATGTAAGCAGCATGGATGCACTTTCACAGAGTCCTATGCAAACATTGTTTTGGGTGTTTGTTTTATTCTTCTCTCTAACTAAACAGTTTGACCTCTTTCTGTTAACATATATGTGATAAAAGACCATCACTCTTCTTGAATTAGAAAAAATATAAATATTGCAAGGAAAGCCTTAGGTGAGAGCTCTTTGAAGCATGTGGGGGGAAAAAATGAGTAGCACCTTGCATTTTGTAGGAGCACCTAAAATAATCTTACTGTTTATGCAGAATGCTGCTAATGTCACATTATAGCAACCATAAAAACCATAACAAATAATGAGAGTTTTTAGTTAATTTAACTACAAAATAATAAGTAAAAAAAAGCATAAAATATAGCATGACATAGGAATAGTTATGGAATAAATAAATAACATTAAAACTCTACTGCATTAAAGTAGTTTGTTACATTTCTACTGCTCCTATCCATGCTTTCATTCACTCGTCTCATTTTTGCTGCAGGACACGCGTCACAACACCAGATGCTAAAGGAAAAATGAAACCCCAGCAGGTTTGATTAAACAGCAGAATCGGATGTTCTGATAATGAGAATGGAATATCGGCATCACTCATGATATTTTAGAAAATGCCTCTTATCAGTGTTACCCAATCCTTAATTCCCCCGTAGAGAAGCAGGTCAGACATTTGTTATGTCACGAAACATGCAACGCCCTGCAGTGAACTCACTGGTTCTCAGTAGTCAGTGTTCACGAAGGTACCCTACATATGCCATGTCAGTTTCAGGCCAGCAGCACAAAGCAGCACAGATTAAGTAAAAGAACAATGGTTATGTAAAGACTAAAAGAATTAGCGTGAAGAAACTCACAACTGCTTTATGGGAAGAAAACAAACAAGAGCATCATCTTCTGACGCCTCTTTCTGCTCTGCATGTGTTCGATCGTCTTGAGTCAATACTGATATCCGACACAGGCAGTCCTCCACTCTGCCTCCAACCTTTGTCTAAGTCATGTTCTGCACCCATGTTCCCTTCCTGCTGCTTAAAACCTGACAAAAAATACACATGGATGTGGGAACCAGCTCTGTTCTTGTTGTGTTTTCATTCCAGCCTTGCCAGAATGAGTGTAACACTCTAGCAAGTCATAAAAAATAAATAAATAAAAACATTCCCTGATATTTTCTTGGTTTCGGATCTTTGAGGCAGATATACAACATGTTCAAACCTACCTCAAATTTACCTCAGGGTGATATATTGATTAAAGTGGAACAGAGCAGGGTAAATAAAAAATGTAAAGTATTTATTTATTTGAAGTTCTTCTCAGTAGGTGATGAAGATACCAGCAAAACAAAAACTACAAAGTCACCTTTTCAGCTATAAACTATCCCTGACAACGCAGAGGAGGCTACTTCTGATTTGTCAGAATGAGCTAAAAAAAAACAAAAAAACAACAACAACAACAACAAAAACCACACCCATTAGGGCAATATAACGTCAAGTCAGTATAATGTCAAAAGCAATCTTGCCAAATCGGGCCAAACTCTGAAATGTCACTCCTAAGTCTCCGACAATGGCAGCTGTGGATGAGGTTGATTTTGATAGTGTTATAATAAGCTCTGGTACAGTGCATTGACATATACAGCTAAAGTGTTGCTGCGACATTTAACTAAACATTGCAAAGTGTGAATGTAATATTTCTTAATATTTTCTAAATTGTCAGAGCAACATGCCTCACCCGATGATGAATTTCTCATTTTAATTTCCCCTTGCAGCCCTTTATAAAAGATTATAAATGCATCATAATCATCCAGCCGCGACTCTAAGATGGCTTGAAGGTAGATCTAGTGAATGAGTACTGAGCACCCTAACTGAACTCGAATTTACTGGTTATACATCATTTATTCTGAATTAGACTGTTGAAGTCTTTGTGTGCTGCACAAAGTGACAATCTCAGTGATTAATAATGAAATACTAAAAACCGCAATTCCTCCAATGGCCACTTGAGGCTCCAAAAGTGAGTCAATTTGCTTGTTAAATGCAAAGCTAACACCATTAACATCATGTTTCTAGCCTGATATGCTACAATAGAGAGTTTAACCCTTCATAACAACTTTGAGTGGCGTAACTGATTTCATTGGTCGATGGCGCCGATCAGCATCACCTTCACTAACTGGAGTGATTCTAAAAGACCTCTCGACATCATTTGTGCTGTTGGTGGCTTCCAACACATTCTCACTCCCAAAGCGTAACATTTTACACTAGGTGACAAATCGTCTGTATATTACGCTTCCGGGCACCCAACACGTCCATATATCACGAGATCGGAAAAATGAGGAAACATGAGAACTGATGAATGTGAAGAATGAATCTACACATGTACATTTGTTTTACTTAAATTGCTTTGAAAAACACTATCTAACGTCATTAAAGTGCTGGGTAAGGTTAGGGATAAGGTAAGGGTTAGGGCTGGAATACATGGCTGGAACGTGTATTACCGCGGGAGC